TCCTCTAAGAACAATCAGATCATTGGTCGACTGACAGTTAGTAATTATGTACTTTGAAGCTCAATTTTCGGGTGAAATATTGATCATAGAATGAACCACGTCATGTTCAGTACAATGCGCAAATGACAATTTTACACAGTTTCGATTTCATTTTACCTTCTCAAACACCAATTCGGGTTGATCAATTTACCCTTAGGCGCATATGGTCATAGGTCTTGCAGACAAATGGGCTTATTCACTTCAGCTGGTAGCACCTTTACGTTGTCTATGTGCTTCATGGAGTTATTTCTCTGTGGGCACGCACATGGTCGCTCGCCTCATGTTATTTGCATCTGGTAAGTTCCATGAGCAACGTCTACGTCGAAATATTTTTATGAATACAACCTGTTCTTGCGATCTTGTTCTAATTCGCCTTAGCTGGCTGCTTCAATTATTTGAAATATTTTCAGAATATGACACAAAACTTTTAAACTGATAGTTGTTGTTTGTAGAAGTACCGGCTTAGAGCTTTTAGGCTCTTTATTATTATATATAGCACAAGCTTTGTATGACCAGAATTCTGTGGCATTATTGTTTTATTTACAAATGTACATGGGCTATGCAAGCGCAACGCTAACACGGTTTTGAAGAATTGCACATCTGTTCATATCATCTATCATTCTATTCACGTCATTACCATTGCATATTTTTAAATATCTTGGCAAAGCAAATGTTGTGCACTGACTCATGAAATGTAACTGTCGAAAAGCTGGTTTTGCTAAATAAAAGACGGACTGTTCATTTAGCAGTACAGTAACTCAACAGCCATATAGCCTGGCTTGATATACGATTATTTAGGCCAGCCCATATGATATGAGCACCTTACAGCAACACACCCTGATGTTCTGATTTGAAGAAGCTATGCGCTTATGTACAGAAAATGTCATGTGAATCATAAATTATTCTTCATGTCACAAGCTAAAGGTATATTGCAACGGACAGTCATAATCGTCATCGAACCTTTCACTGATTTTTAGATACATAACGTGGCAACCGAAGGCTTCTGGTTTTGCAGTAGCTCTTTTCGTTTTGTGAAAAGGTTCGTGAATTCATCATACACTTCAATCTCTGAGCTGTATTGTTTTCTAGAATCGTTGTTCTTTCTTTATTTTGTTTTCGACTGCGTCATTGGTAACATAAGTGGTCGTTTGATCCTTCGCTAACTGCTTCAATTAAATAATGAAAATCAAGGTTGGCGGAACTTTAGAGTCGGGCTGGCAAAAAGATATTTAAGGATAAGTTTTATCGCTTAGCGCATTGCGTCTGATCGACAACCCGGTGCATGGATGGATAGAAAGTCAACATTTCTTGCCGTTAAACACATATCTATCTGCATACAATTTTCAGTTCCGGTCGCGAAATCTGATTCGATAACTAAAGCCCACATGATAACGAGTGATATATGTCGTATGACGCAGGCTAATGCTTTCTGTGTACCTCGCACAGTTTATGCCTGTCAGAATCATGTCACGTGACCTCAGTTTCCGGCCTCATTTTCGGTAAAATGTTACAGATAAGGAACAACAGATGGAGAATGCGACGGTTACTGCGGTGATCCAGTCATTGAACTTCTGGTAATGAGGCAATGAAAAAGTGTTCATCCTCGCCAGCGGGCATTTTTCGGAAGACGGATTTTCTTCGAAGCGGAGATAACGACCAGCTCGACTCATTGTTTACTCAGAAACGGTGAGTGCATTGTTAAGCCATTAGATTTTTTTATGGCTTTTCTCCTAAAAATATTAATGCTATTTATTGTCATTCGTTTTAGTCGTATTATTATAAGGGAAAGGCACAGAGTACTATGACATACCTACCAGATCAAGTTTCGATGAGAGATTCAAATATACGCTAAAAATTCATTGCTTTATTGGACACATAGGAAATAAGTATCTCGAGTAACTGTTTGCTCATAGATAAATCGTTCATGTTTATATTTAGTCCGTTTGAAGCATGATGGTATCGTGACAAAGAAGTCAGCTTGAATTCAAAGTGCCTGGTTCGAATCCGCTGAAGGGACAACATTTGTCTTACTCACGAATTTCGTCGAACAAAAATTAACCCAATGCTGCTTCAGCGCTACTAGCCGAGAAATAAATGGTAAGACAGTGACTTAGGAAAAGTTTGGTCAGTTGGTGTTCTGACCTGGTCATACCCGAATGAAGAGAAGCACGGCCAAGCTGTCATTGCGAATGCCCATTTTGCCTACACTTCGCTGTGATCCACCTGCTAGCTGACTATACAGTGTGAGTATCAGTACACGGTGCATCTCTGATTCCGATTTCGAAATTAATGCAAAAAACTGAACAGAGGTTTATTCTGACCTCAATAGCGCTATTCACACGATGCAAGTTAGCGATGTTGTTTTCATCAAGAGCAGGAATCAAGGACGCAGCCGCTACATATTCAAGAAAATGCAATTACATTTTCAATGGCTTGTAAACTTCTGATTGGGTTCGTTAG